CTCTTTCTTTAAGCACTACTTTAATTCATACCCACTAGCAAGAACAAGACAATAATTTATTCATCTATATTTTTCTTTCCTTTTTTCCAGATTTTTCTCTTCTTTTTTTTTTTCAATTTCCGCTAGTGGTGTATTATTTTACAAAATAAGTGCACCCTTCTTTCTTTCATTGGTTCCGCTCAAAAGTCACCCCACACTTAGTCCCTTCTTACTTCTTTTAGTGCTCATTTCACAATTAAAGTGCTTTAAGAGGTAAAATGATCAAAAATTATCAATTAAGAACAAAAAAGATATAGACTTGTAATGTGGGTGCCAAATAAAAGTCTATAGGCTCAAAAGGGTTAACTAAGGATCAATTTTATTTGTGATAAGTAATTAAGCTCAAAAAGATCAAAGAAAGCCTAAAATTATTTTTTAAACCAAGCATCACCTAAAATTTCGCTTCAACTCACATACCGGGCAAGTTCTAGACACAAGTACAAAAATATGGACTACACAAAAACCTCACCACACATGGCACATGCCTCACTAAGGACAGTCACATTCCGACTCTCAAAAGATGCAAATATTCATAGAGCCACGAGATATTGAGCATTAAGCGCAAAGTGAAAACAAGTCAAGAAAACGAGAAATAGTCGTCACAAAACATGCTATCCAACTAAGCAAGGCATCATCAACGATTTAAAATCATAGGGAAGATACTACACATATCAAAGCCTAAATATGCTACTATCAAACAAGTCAAGAGCCCCTAGGAATCTTATATTTCTTCTTCCATTTATTTCCTAAACTCTAATCTACTCTAAAAGGAAAATAAATTACCCGGTTCAAACTACATCCCATGGAAAAGAACCAAGGCACAAAGAAAAACCACGGGGGATTATTGCTACAAAAAAAAACATGTTTTTGGATTTTTCTATTTTTCTATTTTTTTGTTTAGACTTTAATCCCTCAAGAAAATTGTCTAGGAGATCCATCGTCGGGAAAAATCCAAAAATAAAATTTTAATTTTTTCTCAATTTTTAAAATATTTTTATCTTTTTTAATTAAGGTACTAAAACTACTACTACTACTATACTACACCATTAATTCTACTAACTATGCTATTAAAAATAAGAAGTTAGCTAACAATAAAAAGATAAGAAACTAACAATATACTAATATAATACTATAGAAAGAATAGAGAATCTTCCACCCTACAATTAAAATTTTGCAATATCCTCAATTCACACTATAAATAATAAGAGGGTAAAAGAGACTTCCTGGTAGGCCAAAGGCCGAAGCAATAGCGGCTCACGAGGTACTCAGACTTCCCCCAGATATCGTCCTTTGTGCGGGTACCTCACACTAGTTCCAATAATCTGGCTTGCTTTTGCACACTTCCAATGACTTTCTTCCTATGCTCATAATCCTACAAAATAAAACAACACTACAAAAATAATAAAATAAACAAAAATAAATAAAGCAGTAAAGCTGGGTTGCCTCCCGACAAGTGCCTAATTTAATGTAGCGGCACGACGTGAACCGCTTTTTGCCTCCACCTCGAACTTATGAATTGAGCCCCTAACATGGCATCCAGTCTGCGGCTATGCTCCAGTGATGGGGCTACAACGATAACTAGGCCAAGTAATAAATTTTTTCACTCTACATTTCTCGGCCTTTAGATGAGGAATGTAATTTTTACTTTTTGGCACAACAAATTCAAGAATATAGGCACTCTCATCCTCACCCTTTGACCTCCTCATTGGCTCAGATGGCTCGATTACTATCTTACTATCTAAACACAATGTGGAAAAATGATTGAAATGAGGTCTAATGCGCCCTAACTCATGAATTGTACTACTATTTACATCTCCATATATACACACACTCAAGTCTCCCAAAGTAATGTTATCTATTCCCTCATATGACTCTAGAGCATTCTTCTCAACATTGGCATCCTCAAGAAAAATATGGTCTAATGATTGGTATTCTCGTTTTAGCTCCTCAATTTGGTCTAGAAGATTTTTTTCAGCTTCGCACAACTTATCATTAAATTGTTGGCCATTACACGCATCAACCTTTTCATTTAAATTTGCATCCAAGTTATGCACAACCAAGCCAAAATTATCAATTTTATGTGCAAAATCATCTCTCTCCTTAGACCAATCATTCACCAACGTTGTCAGAAGACAACGTCGTTCCGCATATTCCCTTAATCGAGAATATTCGTCCCAATACCAACCCTTACTCCCATATTCAAATTCAGATTTCCAAGAGTTCAGGTCATGACAAGCCCAAAATGACGGGCCATATAAGTCTTCCGTCAACCAAGAGTCTTCATTAATAACCTTACCTCCATATATTTCATCCCCAAATGTCATGGTTAAAGAACTAGAAACACACTAAGAGAAAAATCAAATAGTTATAAAAATAAAATATTTACAAAAAGAGAAG